AGTTTCTCCACAATCTTGCCAGCATTTGTTGCTTGCTGTTCTGTTAAATTTTGCTATTCTTACTGGGGTTAGATGATATCTCATAGTTGTTTGGCATATATCACTTTTAAACTGTTCCCTCCCTCATCTGTTTCAATGCAGCATACATTATCCTCTTTTTCTCAGTCTCACCCCAACCCTGATGTCAGTCCCATTCTATAACAGTGGCACTATGCAGTGTTTGTCCTTTTGTGACTGAGATATTTACCTCAGCATAATGTCCTCCAGGATCATCCATTTTGAATAATATTGCATGAGTTCCTTGTTTTTCAATGTTGCATAGTATTCCATTGTGTGACTATACCAAGCTTCTCTATCCATTTGTTTGTTGATGGGCACTTAGGTTGTTTTCTGCTCTTTGCTATTGTGAACAAAGCCACAATAAATATGGGTGTGCATATATCTGCCTGAGTGGCAGTTATGGGTTGTTTTTTAGGGTGTATTCCCAGTAGAGGAATTGCTGGGTCAAATAGTATTTCTATTGGCAACTTTTTGAAAAAGCACCATACAGCCTTCTATAATGGTTGCACAATTTTACACTGCCACCAACAGTGAATAAATGTTCTGGTTTCTCTGCAACCTCGCCAGCATTTGGTAAATACTATATTTTAAAAAAAAACAAATTGAACAATTTGTTGAGTGGAGGGAGAATGAGTAAAGAAAAGGAGAAAGATCTGATGTGAAAAACAATATATACAAACTTTGTAAGTAAACCGGTATAAAATAAAAAATGTTATTAAAGAAATACAAATCAATAAGAAAAAAGTTAATGTTTTGCATTTGTTTGGTTTGTGTTGTTTACAAATAAAATGAGAAGCTATACAAAAGCACCCAAGTGCCAGACTCAGACAGAAAGAATTTGGAAGTATATTTTGCATAATTATTTTAAATTGGGTGAGAGAATGCCAGATTATTCTAGTGTGTATAATTTTAACAGCTCAAAGAATATTATCAGAAATTAAGCAAATGAAAAAAAAATCCAAACCTGTTTCCAGAGAGTGAATCCTGACATACGGTGAATGTGGGTTACAGAGTAAATGACCCCACAGGGTCCCTGGACTGTAATTGTCACAGAAGCAGATAACCAGGTCTTTTCTCCATGGTGCAAATGGTGTATGCCAATTGAGTCCTGATCATTGTCATGTGCCGTTGAGTGGGAACCAACTCTTAGCCGGCCCTCCAGTGGATTTTCAGAGGCTCTAAATTACATGGGAAGGGTGTGTCCCTTGTAACTGATAGATTCAATTGACTTGCTTTTGGGTTGACAACACAACTCTATACTCACTAGACCAACCAGTACTGATCAAGAATTACTAATTTTAAATAAATTTTATCCCAAGGATTTATCCAGAATCCCATGCTGATGTTTTTTAATAAACTTCCAGAAGGTTCTATATATGGATATGTATAAGACATCGTCATTTAGGACAAATTACCCATATGAAAAATGGAAGCCCACGCACCACCGTATTCCCAAAAGTCGATCTCACCCTCATGCCTAGGAATCTTGATGATACTTTTGTTTTTCCAAAATGCATTTCCACTTCTGCATCCCTTCTTTCATCATATCTTCTCAAGTCAGCCTCCAAGTTGTGAATGTTTTTGTTTTCCTCTTTGCCTCTATTTACCCTGCCTATTTACCAGTGTAGGGAGCTCTGGTGGCATAGTGTTAAGAGGCTGTGCTGCAATCCCGAAAGCACATGGTTTGAGGCCACCAGGTCCTCTGTGTGAGAAGGATGGGCAATCTCCTCCCATGTGATTAACTGCCTCTGAAAACCCCGCTGGCGGGTCAGCTATGGGTCAGTTCTCACTCTATAGTACACAACAATTTGTTGTTGTTGTTGTTATGTGCCGTCGAGTTGTTTGCGACTCATAGCGACCCTATGTACAACACTCCTAAACCGTGCTCTATCCTGTGCCAATCTCATTGCCTCTGACACACCCATCCCGAGTGCCCCAGTCACTGAATCAATCCACCTCATAGAAGGTCTTCCCCTCCTGCGCTGTCCCTCTACTCTACCCAGCATGATGTCCCTCTCTAAAGACCTGTCTCTCCTTACAACATGTCCAAAGTATGTCAGAAGAAGCCCCAGAATCCTTGCCTCCAAGGAGCAGCCTGGTTTAATCCTCTCTAGGATGAATCTGTTTGTTTTCTTGGCAGTCCATGGTACATTCAATACTCTTCTCCAGCACCACAGCTCAAAGGTGTCAATTCTCCTTCTATCCTCCCTAGTCATTGTCCAACTCTCTGATGCATAACAAGTGATTGCAAAAACCATGGCCTGTATCAGGCACACCTTAGTCTCCAGAGAGACACTGTTGCTCGCGAGTATTTTGGAGAGGTCCCTAACTGCAGACTTTCCCATCGCAATACGTTTTTTTATTTCCTGGCTCATGTCTTTGTATCTTAACACTCAAGTAAGACTACCCTTTTAGTTGGGTTCCCATTTGTTTCTGGTTAGTCTGCCAAACTTTCTTAGGCACCAAGAGACACTAATCACTTCTTTACCCTCCAACCCTCTTTGATTTCCTATGGAAAATGGATCAGGTGAAAACTGCTCTGTTTGCCTAGAAGCTCCACAGTCTAGCACTCCGTCCACCCACCGTACTATATCCATGTCCCTCCAACCCATAGCCCATAACAGGGCTTTATTTCTCTTTATGGCTAAGCAATATGTCATTATGTAGATACACTGAATTGTGATCATACATCATCTTTAATGGACACTTGGGTTGTTTCAACATTTGACTATTATGATTAATATTCCAGTGAGCATTCATGTACAGATATCTCCTGAGTCTTTACTTTTGGTTCTTTGGATTGGTCTATACCTAGTATTGGTATTGCTGGGTCATGAGGTACTTTTTGAAGCAGTGTCAAACTGTTTTGTACAGTGGTGGCACCACTTTACATTCCCCTCAGCAATGCATGTGAGTTCTCCACATCCTCACCAGCACCTTCTATTCTTTGTTCCTTTTTATTTTGTTTTTTATAATAGCTCTGCCAGTGGGTATTACCTTCTACTTCTGCCTAACTAAACCCTACATAGCCTCCAAATCCATTAAAATATCTTTATTCCCATTGAAATTCTTTTAATTTATATTGAATTCCATTAATGGCTACATAATTCATCATTTTTTCTGATATTGCCAGTGAATTTTGTTTCATTCATTAAATTAGTGCTGTCATCATCATGTCTTACTCAGTCATCTTTCATTATTAAAGTGGACATGCGGACACATTTATAAAAAATAAATATTAAATTGATGTTTTATTGGCATTTTTAAAGGAAATATGTAGTCAGAAAATGTGCGCAAAGTTTAAAAAAAGTAAAGGATTTTTTTTTAGTCACATCTTTCCAAATTATCATTGTTAGGTTGCATCAAGTCAGTTCTGCTCAGACCTGCACTATATACAACAGAAGGGAGCACCATCTACCCAGTTCTGTGTCAGCCTCACAGTCGCCGTGTTTGAATCCATTGCGGCAGCCCCTGCCTCAGTTCATCTCATTGATAGTCTTCCTCCTTTCTGTTGACTCTGCTGTAGCAAGTGTGATATCCTTCTTCAGAGACTGGGCCCTTCTGATAACATGCCCAGAGTGTGTGAGAAAAAGTCTCACCGGGCTCACATCCAAAGAACATTCTGTTGTGTTACTCTTATACACACAGATTGTGTCATTCTTCTGGGAGTCATCCGTGTTATATTTTTTTTTCACCAACATCATAATTCATAATTCAAAGGTATCAACACTTCATCAGTTCTTTATTCACTGTCAATTTTCATATGCTTGGGGGGCAACTGAAAATACCATGACTTGAACCTTAGTCCTCACATTGACATCCTTACTCTTGAACACAATAAAGAAATCCTTTGCCCTATATTTGTCCAACATAATAGATCTTTTGGTTTCTTGAATCCAATACTGTGGATGCAAGTAAAACAAAATTCTTGACTACTTCAATCTATTCTCTATCAGAAGTTGCTTATGGGTTCAATTTTAAGAATTTTTGTTTTCTTGATATTGAGATGTCATCTATACTGAACGCTGTAGTGTCTGATCTTTTCTTTTTCAGTAAATGCTACGTTCTTCTCCACATAGTACAGCTTCTCCAATTATTTGCTCTAAATACAAATCCAGTAAATGTGGTGAAAAGCTATGGCACTGACATGCCTTCCCTGATTCAAAGCACAATATTCCCTGGATCTGTTCAAATAAATTAGGCAGGAGGAAATAGTGAAGAAAAGAATGTAGAAAAAGTCTAGTACCTAATTTTATTTTTTTAGTTTAAAAATACGAAAGCTTATAATTATATGGATGCCTTACTAGAGCTATAATAGTCAGATGCTTTTTCACTTAGATTAAGTTTGTCATTGTTAGTTGCTGTCGAGTCAGCCCTCAATCATGGTGACTTTATGTACAATAGAATAAAATGTTGTCCAGTTCTGTGACACCCTCATGATTACCTTCACAATGCTCAAATCTATTTTTGCAGCACTGTATTTTTTTAAATGCCTTTCAACCTAGAGGGCTTATGCTGTAGCCTTCTATGGTGAAAGGCATTTACAAAACCTGTATAAACACTATATAAACACAATTTATATTGTGATATGTGAAGTTTTTATTGGAACATTTTTGGAAATAGATCACCAGGCCTTTCTTCCAAGTCTGTCTTGGTCTAACAGGTCTGCCAAATCCTGCCCATCCTGGGTTGCCTGCGGATGTTTGAAACAGCTTCAAGCATCGTAGCCACACACATGCCCCCACAGTACAAGCACCTGGCAGGTGGGTGGTGGAAAAGAAGACTAGGGAGACCAATGGAATTGAAAGACCCCAACAATGACACCCCACCTCAGTGCCTTCAAACACCAACATTATGGAAGCAGGGAGATGGGGAGAAAGAAAAACTGGAAAGAAGGGGAAAAAATGTTACAAGCTCAAATGTCTGCTTTCCTTTTTCAGCACAAATTGAAGTGATACCATGCAAAATTTGTGGCGATAAGTCGTCTGGGATCCACTACGGAGTCATCACATGTGAAGGCTGCAAGGTATGGGGCTATAGCCCAGCACTGCTGATAGCACGTGCATTTACTCATATCCTCCCTGCAGTGTAAGATCCACTAGGATGTCAGTGCCTAGTGTTGGCAGTCAAAGTTCTGCTTGGTAGGTGGGTAGGCTGACTTTCTGTTCTTTTGCCCTTCACCTCTCACTGGCTAGCACCATATTAAACAAAATCTTGATTTAAACTCGGACTCATTGCCACTAGTTGGGACTGACTCATAACTGACGTTCCAGTGGGTGTTCAAGGCAATCAATTGATTGGAAGGAGATTGCCCATCTTCCTTCTGTTGTATTCGCATTTACAAAGATACTGACTCTTAACTGTTTTGCAGCCTTGTTTGTGGTAAACTCATGAGCTTTTAGTAACGTAAGTAAAAACAAAAGGTTAAAATGAAGATTTTCCAAAAGACATAGGTATTTATGCACTTGAGAAAAATGAAGTCAGGGTAACCCTTGTAAAAGGTGTGTGGCTGTCCTTCAATCTCACGTTCCAGAAAAACAAAAATGGAAGCACGGCATGTTAGAATTGGTCCGATAGTCTCTCCAAACTTCTAGAAATCTCCTGGTCCAACTTCCTCACTTGATGACCTGAGACCTCAAGAAGGGATGTAATTTGATCCAAATCTTTGGTCTAGTTTAGTGAGTGGGCATGGCCAACATCATGACTTCGTTTGTTATCCTTATTTTTGTTTTAATTCTCAGTTTTGCACTCACTTTTCAGACCTATTCTTCCAGTCCCTCCAAAGACAAATTTATATGGGCATGTTGCTTTCAAAATATAAAACTAAAGGGATATCCATTAGCAAAGACCTAATCTGAATTAAAGGAACCTTGGTGATGCACTAGTTAAGCACTTGACCACTAACCAAAAGGTTGATTATTCAAATCTAACCAGTAGCTCCATGGGGGAAAAAAGTCTACTTTTGTAAAGTTTACAGTCACGAAAATTCCCTGCAGTAGTTCGCCTCTGTCACCTGGAGTCACCTGGAGTTGCAATTTGATTTGATGGCACCTAACAGCAACGATCTGAAATAAGAGAACCTGCATGGCACAAATGATTGAACATTAGATTACTAGCCAGAATATTGGTGGTTCAAACCAACATATAGTCATTGCCCTGCCTTGAAAATTCTGTGGAGGGTATCCTACCCTACACAACAAACCACGAGGCAGAGTTGACTTGGTGACACTTAACACCACCAACAACAGTCTGAGATAAGAGAAATCTGACACGTGATCGTAAGTTTTAAAAATTAATCCTTAGTAGGAAAGAATGAGAGACAAAAATATCAAAAGAAGATAAAAGGAGTTCTGTCATTTTAAGGGGAAACTTAAAATCTTAACAAATAAAAACCATTTCTAATATTTGAGGGGCAAGGTCATAGTCTAGAAAAGTGGTTGTTGAGAGAAATTTATCTTTCAAATAAAAAAGAGAGACAAGCCAAGTGAATTGTTAATTTCATGTCAGTAACTGGAGTACAGTCATACATTCTAAGAGCCAATCATTCTTCGCAGACATTTGAATAGGAATGAAATAGAACATATCATAACTGCCGAATACTGAGGCTACATGATGACTTTTCACAGTAATCTCAAAGTATGGTTCTTAAAATAAAACTACAAGACAGGAAACAAGAAGAAATAAATGAAACTAGAGGAGGGGGAGGGGAATAAAGAGGAGAAGATAATACTGAAGATCTAAACCATCAGCACACTGCCCTGCTTCCGAGCTGATTAGTGATAATCCATGTTTGAACATCATGAGGTGTGTTATAGAGAGATAATTACCAACTCATGTTATCCACCTTAGTTCTCTTTCTTCAACTCATTAAAAAGAAGCCAGAAAAAAATTTATAAGCCTAATTTTTTAAAAAAAAACTTCCTGGAATAAATTATTGCATCCTTTGGGAAATTGACAATTTTCTTTGTAAACACTAATATTTTAAGAACCAGAATCCACTCGAGCAAATGTATTTCTACCATTTGTTTATACCATGCAAATTTAAGAGTGATGGTCCAGTTTGTTCGGTAGTCATAAGAAAACAAATTTTTTAAGTCAGTGTTTTAGTGGAAATATTTTTCTGTATTTATTGTGTGTATCCTATTTGGGAAATGACTGATTTAAAAATAAGAGACAAGATACTTTAAGGAGTAAATTAAACATTAATTTTAAAAACAAATATAAACCAACCAGTCAGCAGCCAGGAACAAGTGTTTATACTCCTGTTGTGTATAGTTTTTCATATAAAAGAAGAATATATGGTCAAAGAAATTTTTCAGGTCTTATGAAGCTTACTCTGAGATTTGTCAAAATAATATTGTGCATCAGACTATTTGCTTGCATTTATGGAAAAATCCACATTTGTAAACATGTTACACTTTTTTTTTCAAATAGAAATTGTATCCGGATAAGATGTCAGTGTCTATGCATTCAATATCAGCCTCTAAATTTTCATAGCACTGTTTTAGAGTCAATATAAACAACGCACTTTAAATAACACCAATTCAGCTCCTGCATTTATTCAAATTCCTATTCAATAAAATTTGAAACAGAATCTCTTTTTCATGCCAAAAAGTTCATTTGCAATAATGAGCAACAGAGAAGAAAGAGATGTCTCGTAATTAATGTCAAATTGGCATTAAATTGGGACTGTAGCTGTGACTTCAGAGGTTTTTCTGCCAACTCTTTTGCTAAGTGGCACTTGAGTACCCAAAGATAAAAAAAAAAGCAGACACAATACTTTGTTGAAATGTAAGTTTCGAGTCATCTCTAATCAAGACAGATGGGATGAAGTTATGCTTTCTGACAGTTCTCATGGTACATAAAGTGCATCATTTCAATCCCGGTGGGGGTGGGGGGCATAGTCTCTATTTTAAGGATTTCTGAATTCAGTCAAACTGGACAATCAGGTATCTTATTCTTTCCTCATTGGTCCATCAGATAAATGATATGCATGGATGTGTGGAAAGCTAGTTCTTGTTGAATGGTTTTGCGTTACAACCACAAAACCAATTGGAACTCTTTCTAAAGAGACTTTGGCCACACATCATTTCTGAGATGGTCAGAGTCACTTTTTAGTGCCATACAGCACCGTCTAGCATTTAAGACAAAAGGAAAAATTAATCAGTAATGTGGATACTGACTTTATTTTCATTAATGTTGATTTTTAAACCTATTATATTAAACATCATTTATCTTGACTAAGACGTATTGCAATGGGAAAGTCTGCTATTAGGGACCTCTCCAAAGTACTGAAGAGCAATGGTCTCTCTGGAGACTAAGGTGTGTCTGATACAGGCAATGGCCTTTGCAATCACTTGATATGCATCAGAGAGTTGGACAATGACTAAGGAGGATAGAAGGAGAATTGATGCCTTTGAGCTGTGGTGCTGGAGAAGAG